GAAATTTATGAAATTATATATCTTTAAAAATGCATAATACTTGTCTAGTAAAATAAGTCAATGATTATATAGATGACACAATCATGTGGAAAAAATTTCAGATTTTTTATAATTAAATATATAATTATATAATAAAAACAAAAAAAACTATATTTTAATTTGTAATTAATTTATTTATTATAAGTAATTCTGTTAACAATTTTTAATTTCTTAAATTTAAAAAAAATATATTTAATAAGTTATAATTAATTTTCAAATGTGAAGAAATATTCAGAAATAATTTCCTGTTATATTTCAAAACGATGTTATATTACTAAAAATCTTTCTACTCAAATTGTAATTTAACTGAGATTCTACATTGAATGGTTAGTAATAATTTTATATTCTGATATTATTAATTTTTTCTACATACATAAAATACATAAAAATCATATGAAAATCAATTTCATTTTTTTAAATATCGTATTTTTAATGTATTACTATTCGACATTCTTTATAAAAAATTATTAATCTACATAAGAAGTACATAAAGAAGTTATTAATCTTAAAATTATTAGGAAATATTTTAATATTTGAATTTTTTAAAATTTATTACAAAAGACAAAAACAGGTGAGTATTTCTTGCTTTTTTATTATTTATATAATTGGTTTTATAAAATTCAAATTAAAATATCTGATAAACCAAAATTCTTATTATACGACTTATGGATCCTAATTATTTGTTATAATCCGAATTTCAATTCGAGAACATACATATTTACTTAATAATACTCATAGATTCAAATAATATTTTGAACTAGAAATGAATAACTGATGATTCACGAGTTGTATGCGATTCTTCTCTTCATGGGTTTTCTCATCACACTTCTGTAAAATATGACAAATGAAACTAGGACATTATTGTATGTATATTTTGTATGTATATTTATATTATTATATGTATATTTGTCATGCAAGATAAAACACGGAAGGATATGAATTAGTAATGAAGAAATACTGAACATATTAAAGCAATAACGGAGAAAAAAATTGTTCAGATCTGTTTTAAAATAATAAAAATTTTTATAATATATATAGATTAATACTTTTTTATAAAGATCGAGCTGCATCAAATAATGTATTAAAAAATAAATTAAATTATGCTAAACTAAAATAAATTAAATTCTATTTGAAAAAGAAAATTAATCTTCATATGTCCTTAACACGTCTATTTATAAAAAAAATATTAACAACAATATATATCTTTCGAAACCATTCAATTAAATTCTATTTAAATATTTATTAATTATTTATTATCATTGTGAATGATAATAATGATAAAAATCAAGATGATCGTTTCAAAAGCACTCTATATGTAATATTATATAATTAATAAAATTATTTATAAACAAATTGATTAAACAAAATATTGTTTATTTTTTTATTTGTAATGTATATATATATATATTATTTTATTGTAATGAAAAGAAGTTCCGCAAACTTTTTTATAATTATATGTCATCTGTAATAGTGGATACATTTGGATGGATACACAAATGGATACTTTATATTGATTTGCTGGACTACAGCTAATGCAGATTTTTAATTTTTCTGTATTCATTCTAAATGAGATATATTAATTGTTAAATTTGATTAAATTGTTATCTATTGAAATCAAATTTAATTTAAATTTATAATCCCTAACATTTTTTTTAATTCTTTATAAAATAAACAAAGAACAAGTTTGGATTAATATTGGATTAACATTGAATTTAAACATTATTTCAATATGATTTTGTAGTATTAGAATTTATATTTTTTCCCATTGCTATTTCCAAATGCTATTGAAAGATGTAAACAGAAATTAATAATTTTTGATGCTTTTAAATTTATCCCAATTTTTTTAAATGTTTTTTATAGATTCTTTTAAATGATATAAGGAGGAAGTGGAATGAAACAAATATTTTTGGTTCGAACAAAATATAAAAAAATTGAAAAATTTCTAATTGACAATGTTATAAAAGTTAATTTATTATTCAATATAAAATATATAATATATTGTATTATTAAAATTATCTTGATATTTATTTATCCTATTTTTCATTGTTTAAAAAATTATATTTTGTTTTTTTGATAAATTGACTATATTAAAAACATAAGAATTTATGAATGAAATATGTGATGATAATATATATGTATATGCAATGAAATAATATTAATATTATTTTAAATGATTTTATGTGATCGAAATGATGATTTTAAATGATTGAAAAAAATGAGGACAAATGTTTAAAATAAGAATTCCTTAACATAAAATAAGTACATTTAGTACAAAATAGTAAGATGAGATTAGAATTGTAAGATTTTGAAAAGAACAGTTAAATGGACATATATATATAATTATACATAAATTTTTATTATATCTCTATCATAAATTTGATAATAGAATTAAAAATTTAATCAACAATTTAAAATATTAAACAAAATGTAATCACAAATAAATATTCAAATAATATTCAAATAATAATAATGAATAATTTCAAATACAATAATAAATAAATTAATTAATAATAGTATTCGTTAAAATGTTTCAAAATACTATTAAAAATTTTATTTTTGGTATTAAAAAAATTCTGCATTATTGTTATGAAATTGATAACGATTTGAATCATGCATACGATTGTTCATGCATGAATATTATTACAAAATAGAAAAATGATTTTCGTGGTTAAATTTTTTATTTTTGAAATTTTTACAATGTTTCTTTCAATACTTTTCATTCCATCTCTCTTTTATATTTAATAATATATAATATAATAATATAATATTTTTATCATTTTTTTAAATAAATTTTTTTAATATATGTATATATAAAATTACATATAATATATATATAATTATATATAAAATTATTATAAATAAAAAATGTTGTTTTTGTGATCTGAATGATATACATTTGGAAAAATAATTGAAATTTTAATAGCAAATAAATATGTAATTCATTTTATTTGAATTACATATATTAATTAAAAAATATGTTAGGTTTTAATATTATATATATGTTATACGTATATTAAAGAAATATCTAAACTAGTTTTGTATAAAGAGAATATTTTATTTTTTATAGAAATAAAAAATATGCATGATATTAAGATGCAAATATTTAATAAATTTAAAATATATTATTTGATTGACAAAATAACAATAACAAATAATCTTGCTTTTGATAAAATTCTAAGTTATAATTAGAATAAGTTCATTATGCAAATTATATATTTTATATTGGTACTTTACTGTATAAATAAAAATACAATGTGCAATAATAATAATTAATGTTTGTACCCTTTTTGCAGACAATATTAAAATGAATTATTTTAATAAAAATGAATATGCAAATATAAATTATGATCTTAAAAAATATATATATAAATACAATGCTTAAAATTTTGTTGCATTTTTTTAAATGAATATTTATTGAAGTAATAGAAAAATATATGATATATTAATGTTTAATATCAATTTCAAATATTTGAAATGTATGTTTAATTTCTGAGAATTATTTATAAAAATAATTATTATTATAATTAATATTTATGTATAATACAATGCTATATAATAGGAATAACAAGATATTTATTACAGTAACAAAAATATTCTTTGTAAGAATATATTATAAATAATATAATTAATAAACCCTTTGTATAAATAACAATAAACTTATTTTCTATAATAATAATAATTAAATTACATGATAATTTTAATTAGTGGTCGATTGTTTGTATAATATTTTGATTGTAAAAAATAAGATTCAATTAAATAAAAAATTTGTTCTTAAAGAAATTAAAAATTAAAAAAAAATATTTTGTTTCATTAAATATAATGTTTTTATAATATGAAAGACAATTTATATTAAAACAATAAATTCAAAGAAAAATTATTTTATAATTTTAATAACATTTATCAAATATGATCCTTAAATATTATATAATAAGAAATAAATTAATATCATTATATATTTAGATTAAGTTCCTCATAATAAAAAAATGTTATTTTTCAATCGACCAGTTTTTGATTTTATTTTATAATTAATTTGTGTTTAAAGATTAATTGAGCAATTGATTGAGCATGACTTACTCAACAATCAGAAATTTGATAACACTTCTGATGTTCTTAGTCTATTTCTGAAAATTTTTGTTAAATTATAAACAAAACTATATTAAATTATTTTGAACATATACAATGAATATGAATATCAAATTTAATAAAACTTTTTAAAGATTATCATTTAAATTGCACGGTTTTAAAAAATAGCAAATGTATATATATATACATATATATATATATATATATGTTATATATGTAAAATATAATATGTAAATAAAAATTCTATTTATTTGTATCTTTACTAAGATTATCACTAGTATTTAAAAATTGTTAAAAATGTCACTAGAGATCGTTAATAAACTGAGTTTTTTTATTAAAAAATTAGAAACAATTTTAAAAAATTAGTTTTCGTTCTGGAATCTTGTAAGAATTCTGATAACAAAAATATCTTATTATAGTTTTCGAGATCTTTAAAATTTGAAGATATAATCCTTCGTTATTATTTTTAAATATTATTTATTATTTTTAAATATTTTTAATAAATTTTTTTAATTTGTTTGAATTATAAATATTTGGAAAAATATTATTATTCAAAGAAATTCATTTATATCTTGAAATTATTTACAAAAAAAAAAAAAATTCAAATAATATAATCTTGAAGAATTAATAGAAATCTTATGTATTTTATTCAAAATAAAAAAATTATTCAATATTTAAATTTTTTAACTTTGCATCATATATTTTTAAAGTTATTATAAAAATTGTTTAATTGATATTATAAAAGTATATAAATTCTTCTATCTCTTTTTATTTTTTTTTATTATTCTTTTAAAACTTTTGTTTCAATATATTTTTAATATTTAAATTTCATTTGAATATTCAAAAAAAAAATTTTATAATAACAAAAATTAAATTCTTTTCAATTTCTTGATAGTTGTATTTCTTTTTTATATAATATTAGTTTTTATTATTTATCTAAAATATTAAAAATATAAAAATATATGTAAACTATATATTTTTACAGAATAAAATTTTTTTCATTTCTCAAAAATATGAAGATTTCATTAATTCTTTCACAAATTTTAATCTCTTAATTTGTTTTGCATTAAATTTTTTAGATTTGTAAAGATTGGAGTTCACTCTATAAGTGCTTCAAATTCTTTTAATTGTGTTTAATATCTCAAAAACTTTTAAAATGTTGATTCACTTTCAAGACTAGGCTCTTGTTTGAACATTCTAAATCCAGTTACACTAGTTACATCTTCTTGATTTTGAATAGGTGTAAGATCCCTCAAAATTATAACAGGACTTCCACTAGCCAACATATGATCTTGAGGACTTAATGGAGGTACATTGGTTGGAGTCAAAGGGCTACTTGGACTTTCATTGCTGCTTACATAACTACCAGAAGCATTTGAAATTGGAATTGGAGTTGCAACACCATTTATTTCTGCTGTTGCACCACCTAAAAGCATTTCTTGCAGCAAATTATCAATATGTGCAACTCCAAATAGTCTGACAAATTGAATTTGTTCAATCATTTGCCAAGAGATGGATTGCAGAGCTGGTAAGGTTAGAAGGATCTCACCAAACCGGCCACGACTGTCATATTGTCGATCACTTATATAATCCTCCAAGTTGATCTGAATTTGATAACGCAACTGCTTGATTCGTTGTGGTTCACTTAAGCCTTTTGCATCTATTAACAGAAAAAATAAAAGTTTTAGATCAAAAAAGATATTAATGACATTTATTATTTGAATAAAAAATTAAATTTATTACAAAACATTTTTCACATATATAAATAAAAAATTAAAGGTGAAAACTTTAATTTAGATAATATTTATGAAGAGTATAAAATGTTTCAAAATAAGTTAATAAATAATGAATATAAAGATAAAAATATAAAAATCAAAAAATAAATAAATCTTGTTATATAATTTTAATATTTAATTACATAATAGTATTTAATAATATTAGCTATAATATTTTTTTAAATATAATTTCGTTATTTTAAAAAAATTAAAAATTTTATTGTAGATTACATTATAGAATCATAATTATATATATGATAATTTATATTATC